ATTTTTCATAAGTTTGTATGCACAGACATCTGTTGTGGGCATTCTTGGCAGTTTTTACGAGGCTTTTTTTAATAGTGTTCATATCGATATCGGAATTATATCGTATCGACCGAAATTAAGAAATATATCTTCATATAAATTTTGGCCATATCGTCCAGCCCTAGGCTAAAAAAAAGCATTAAAATGCAATGATACCTACATCGTCATCGCATCTTGTGTGCCACTGATAAGGCAGTCTGACGCAAACCTAAAATTCGAATGCAACGTTTTAAACATTTAACATTTTAAATTCGACGAATATTCGAAATTCTTCATAAAGCACATGCTGCAAAGCTGCAACAGGAGTCAGATTTCACTGATCGCGTGAAGAGACAGAGGCGTTTTCAGTATGACTGCAAAGGTGCGCGACAGTCAATTTAGTTTCTTTTCTTTTTGTTTTCATTTTGAAAAGCTGTTGTCTTTGCTGTTTACCTCAGGTTATGCTATGGAGTCTCTTTTCATTTGTTTTCATTTATTTGATTTCACAGTGTTTGCTAAACATTCTGCAATTTATTAGTCAATATACAGTATATAATACAGTACATGGTGTATGCTATGCCTAGTCTTATTTGTTTTTGTTAATAAACGTTATATAAGCTAGTTTGTCATTAGCTGTTTTATTGTTGTTGTGCTTATCATTAAAGCAATGAATCCATCTTTCAAGTAATTGTTTTAGTCTTAAAAAGTGAATGGTGCATAGTAGATGTAAGCACAACAGACAATTATCTTTTCTTGTAAAATGTGATATCAAGATCGCGAATTCAAAAGCGAAAGCATCCGAAGCCAGGCTTATAACGTAGCAAAAGAGGAACTCGCATTCACAAAATTCAAATCACAAATAATACTGATGAAAAAGAACGGGTTGAATGTTAATCCCACTTTGGTTAGCATTTAACTATAAACTACGATAACGGAAAAACTATTTATTAGCATGCATTGATTATGTTGGAGCAAAAAAAAAAAAAAAAATTTAATTAATGTGCTCATTGGAATCAAAAAACGTATAACAGGCCAAGATAAGACCAGGACCTAAGACCAAGATAAAAATTAACAAATAAAATTAATAATGCATGGATTTATAACAAACCCATACAATCTCAAAATAAATCATGTACATTTAAGTGCAATTTTAAAATACACAATACATGTTTTATTCAACATATACACACATATTCAAATTGGTGTATGTACTGATTTAAATCAATACATATTAATTACAGGTTGACTGCTATTGGCTTTTTCTAAAATGATAATGTGTTTAAAGAAAGGCAATCAAAAGGCAATTGTCAATACTAGTAAAAATCAATACAATGAATGTGTTCAAAAATGGTCTTTTGTGACAGGCGGTCAGAGAAGCCACAAGAGTTTACGTTGAATTAAACGCCCTACTGCCCTCTATTACTCTTTTTTTCCTTAAATCTTTGGAGTTTGTATAAACTGCCAATTGTTTGTTTTAAATAGTGGTCGACCGATATTGGTTTTTTGATAGCCGATGCCGATATAAAGCCGATATAATTGTACTTATTTTAATTAATATTTAAGAAATTTGAAATAATTTGAAAATGGATTAAAAAATTAATTTGTAAAATAAACATACTTATACTTTAGATGACAAAGCATTTTCCACAAATAAATAAATATTTAATAAAAATATAATTAAAATGAAGTTAACACTGTAACCAACAGAGCACTCAGTATTCTGGGAAGTTTGTGTGCATTGGGGATCATATTTTTTCAAATAAAGCCAAGGTAACACTCATTTTACATACAGCACACAGTGAAAATTACATGAATATGACAATAGGCAAATGTATAAAGCGCAGCATAATTTGAAATCACAAATATAATGTTTAAAACATTCAATTCTCACCGACCGTCACGCAGAGAAAACACGCAATCATGCAGTTCACATGCACACTTCACAAGATCTCACAACTGGATTCAACTAAGTTTGCAAGGTTTGTGAAATTAAATGTTCATTAGCCATTCAAAGATTTGTTTAAATGATATAAATGCGTATTTGCTGAATGCTGACGGCACACGAGTAAGTATTACAATGTTTGCCTTTCTATTACTAATAATATAAAAACAATCGTTATAATACTTTTTTGTATACATTTTAATCCGTTTGTTTAACAGTTCTATCTGATTATTAGACAGACTTCTTCTATCCGTATTAGATAGAACTGTTTACGAGGACGGCGAACAAGAGGGAGAATGTGAGCACTGTGCTCAGGCGCTGCCATTATCAGCGCCATCAAAATAAAACCGCAAACGCATCGGTCAAACAGAAAAACTTATCCGCTGATGCCGGATAAAATATCGTCCGATTTATATGACCCTGGAGCACAAAACCATCATAAGTCGCTGGGGTATATTGGTAGCAATAGCCAACAATACATTGTATGGGTCAAATTTATCCATTTTTCTTTTATGCCAAAAATCATTAGGATATTAAGTAAAGATCATGTTCCATGAAGATATTTTATAAATTTCCTACCGTAAATATATCAAAACTTAATTTTTTATCAGTAATATGCATTGCTAAGAACTTAATTTGAACAACTTTAAAGGCGATTTTCTCAATATTTAGATTTTTTTGCACCCTCAGATTCCAGATTTTCAAATAGTTGTATCTCGATCAAATATTGTCCTATCCTAACAAACGTCAATGGAAAACTCATTTATTCAGCTTTCAGATGATGTATAAATCTCAATTTCAAAAAATTGACCCTTATGACTGGTTTTGTGGTCCAGGGTCACATATCAGCATTGGCGATATATCGGTTGACCACTAGTTTTGATTGCTCTTCAGGTGAAATGTTTTTCTGTATGTCAGTGAATCTGAACACTGACCCCCGGCTGCTGGACGATCCCGTGCGGTTCCCGGAGCTGTTGCTGGACACCACTGAAATAGCATTGGCGATGGCCTCGACAGCGGACAGCCTCTCAGCGAACGTGTTCCTTTCAGACCGCTCTGCTTCTGAAACACATCGCACATCACTCAAGTCATCTCAGGCTGGGTTTGGAAAAACATCTAACATAGTCTGCGTTGCAAAACCTAGTGAGCTGCCTCACTTGTCATCACCGAAAACAAGTACATGATGTCTATACAGCTCCATATTATGGTGAATGTCATCAATTTTGTTACTTAAAAATAGAAATGCTGCTGTGGCAACTAACTGAAATAAATTAATTTTGTTAAATTAAACTTTAACCATTAACTGAATTAAAATAAACTCCATTTATTTTAAGTTTAAATACTAAACAATTAAAACTGAAATAAACTATACATAAAAAAAAAACACTAATAAAAACAAAACGACAAAATAACTAAAACTTAAGAAAACTAAAAATTTTAATAAAGACAGAAGGCTGGGTTTGGAAAAACATCTAACTTAGTCTGCGTTGCAAAACCTAGTGAGCTGCCTCACTTGTCATCACCGAAAACAAGTACATGATGTCTATACAGCTCCATATTATGGTGAATGTCATCAATTTTGTTACTTAAAAATAGAAATGCTGCTGTGGCAACTAACTGAAATAAATTTATTTTGTTAAATTAAACTTTAACCATTAACTGAATTAAAATAAACTGAACTCCATTTATTTTAAGTTTAAATACTAAACAATTAAAACTGAAATAAACTATACATTAAAAAAAAACACTAATAAAAACAAAACGACAAAATAACTAAAACTTAAGAAAACTAAAAATTTAAATAAAGACAGAAAATATAAAAATAAAAACCTAACTAAAAATATTAAAAGGATAGTTCACCCAAAAATGAAAATTCTCAAGTTGTTACAAACCTGTAAGAATTTCTTTTAGCTGTTCAACTCAAAATAAGATATTCTGAAGAATGCTGGTGACCGAAAAGTTGACGGTAGCTACTGACTTTCATATGCGCTAGGGGTGTGCGATATGACGATTTTTGATCGTGAACGATTAAAATGTCTCCACGATCTGCTTTTGAAAAAATATTGTAGTATCATGCTACAGCGCGCCTCAGTCTCAATGTACTGTACAACGCCACATACATTCACATCCAATGTTATCTCAGCGGTAAAGTTACTCACTGGACACTGCACTTACTCGCAATCACAAAAGTACATTATTTGCATGTGCTTTAAAGCCTTGCCGGTTAAACATTTCATTCACGCGCTGTTCTGATGTGTGCTTTCTCCGAGCGCCTACACCTGAAGCGCGTGCTCGCTAAAAAGCCCTTATTATTGGACTAAGTTATTTCACATCTGATTGCGCTAATACTGTCAAAAACAACCAATTGTATTTATATGTAATCCTTGTGTATGTCTGAAGTGAAAGTAAACTGATGCGTGCCTGTATTTTAGATGTGTGCAGGTCTTAAAACGACAGCACAAAACATGCTGCCGATTGCCATCCCTTTAATGACAAGCGGCAGCATGTTTAATACTGTCCCTTTAAGAGCTGCACGCATCCGTTTCTCTCAACGGTTTACTTTCACTTTAGACATAATTAACTGTGTTTATATGTAAACCTCATGTGTTTTTGACAGTATTAGCGCAATCAGACGATAACTAAGTAATCAGGTGCTGTTTGACCGGCCTTTTAGTGTATGGACGCTTCGGGTGTACACGCTCAGAATAAGCGCATGTTAAAACAGCACGCAAATGAAACGTTTAACCGGCAAGGCTTCAAAGCATGCGGAAATAATGTACTTTTGTGATTGCGAATAAGTCTCGTGAGTGTAACTCTACCGAATCAACATTTGATGTGAATGTGTCTCGCGATTTGCAGTTGGAGCTGGAGCCGGGAGAAAAAGTACAGCGCATTGCTTGAGGTAGATGTGTTTTGTTAGTAAATGTTTCATTATATTACTAGTGTTGCCTCCTTTGTTCACTATTACACTACTGCATATATTGCATCTGACACTGGTGTCACTTAGTTTTGTAACGTGAGCCCACACTTCCGAACGTTTCACTCTTGCCGCGATGCCTGAATCCACAAACACACACCGCACATGCGCATATATCACACGCACGTCGAGCAAACCTCGGCCACATCATTCAGTGAAGGAAAATGACAAGCAGCAGCTTCTAATTCAACACAATGGAGATAAAACAACGCATGTACCGATAACAGTATCGTTTGTCCTGAAACTTATCAGTAATCCGGTGTTGACCCAATTACGTACCGGTCCAAAAAAAAAAAAAACAGTTCTCGGTCCCCATCCCTATCCACAACTTTTTTTGTTTTGTTTTGTTTTGTGGTATTTCATCAGTCCCTTGTTTGTCCAGAACAGTAAACTGCCTGCTGTTCTTCAGAAAAATCTTCCAGATCCTGCAAATTCTTTGGTTTTCCAGCATCTTCTGCATATTTGACACCTTTGCAACGACTGTATGACTTTGAGATCCATCTTTTCACACTGACGACAACTGAGGGACTCGTACGCAATTATTACAAAAGGATCCAACATTCACAGATGCTCGAGAAGGAAACACGATGCATTAAGAGCTGGAGGCTGAAAACCTTTGAACTGGATGAAAATATGAAGACCTTTTTCATATTTTGTTTAAATATCTTTTTTTTTAATTTAGTACTGTCCTTCAAAAGATACTTACATGTTTCCCAGAAGATGAAATAAACACAATTACCCTGATCTTCAAATTCAAAGTGTTTTCTGTAAATCTGACGTTCATTCACATACTTGACTAAACTAATGTTATGTGTTTTGTTAGTAAATGTTTCATTATATTACTAGTGTTGCCTCCTTTGTTCACTATTACACTACTGCATATATTGCATCTGACACTGGTATCGCTTAATTTTGTATCGTGAGCCCACACTTTCAAACGTTTCACTCTTGCCGCCATGACTGATTGCATGCAAACACACACCGCACATGCGCATGGATATCACACGCACGTTGAGCAAATGTCGGCCACATCATTCAGTGAAGGAAAATGACAAGCAACAGCTTCTAATTCGTCGTTATTGAAGTATACCGAGAGAAAAACGCAAGCATCGATAACAGTATCGTTTGTCCTGAAGCTTATCGGTAGTCCGGTATTGACCCAATTACGTACTGGTAGGGATGGGCGCTCTGAATAAGCGCACGTCAGAACAACACGCAAATGAAACGTTTAACCGGCAAGGTTTTAAAGCACACGCAAATAATGTACTTTTGTAATTGCGAATAAGTGCAGTGTCTCGTGAGTGTAACTCTACCGCTGAATTAACATTTCATGTGAATGTGTCTCGCGAGTTGCAGTTGGAGCTGGAGCCGGGTAAATACAGCGCATTGCTTGAGGTAGATGTGTTTTGTTAGTAAATGTTTCATTATATTACTAGTGTTGCCTCCTTTGTTCACTATTACACTACTGCATATATTGCATCTGACACTGGTATCGCTTAATTTTGTATCGTGAGCCCACACTTTCAAACGTTTCACTCTTGCCGCCATGACTGATTGCATGCAAACACACACCGCACATGCGCATGGATATCACACGCACGTTGAGCAAATGTCGGCCACATCATTCAGTGAAGGAAAATGACAAGCAACAGCTTCTAATTCGTCGTTATTGAAGTATACAGAGATAAAAACGCAAGTATCGATAACAGTATCGTTTGTCCTGAAGCTTATCGGTAGTCCGGTATTGACCCAATTACGTACTGGTAGGGATGGGCGATAATTCGATAACGATAATTATCGCGATATAATTTTCCTCGATAAAACTATATGAAGAGTTCGATAAATGTTCGATAAAATGTTTATGCGCCAAAAGCGGAAACGAAACAGTGCGCCACACGGACCGTTTATCCGCTCGGATCACAGTTCAAACGGCCGCACGGCACGAGCTCACTAGAGCAGATGTGTTTACTCGGTCACGCGAGCATTAAGCAGCGCTGTGAGATCCAGTGTGAAGCACAAATAGTATTCACACTGAATTTTATTAAAGGAGTAATGGTATATAACTGTAGCATGTATTTGTGATTACGCTATAGCATGTGTGCATTTATACTGAATGTTTTTAGACTACTGTTTTTCATACAAATAAGACTACCTAAAACCATATAATTATATTTTTATCATGGTATTGAGGTGCTATATGTGTGATTTTAACTGTTTATCATGATTTAAATGTATGTTACTATGGGAGACCGATGCTTAATTTAAAAATAAATAAATACTTGGTCAGAATAAATTTAACCATATAAAACTGAGGTTGCTACAATTTTTAGAGATGTTACTGATTTTGAACAAATATTTACCTCTGCATCCTAACTCAAGCTACTATCAAATGTGCATTTCTAAGAGACAAAAAGTGATAATTATTATTAATATTATCAGGCAACCCAAACCGGTTTCTTGATTTGAAACAATATCACTCATTAGAACATGCAGAAACTAAGAAATAATTTTTTTCTATTTAGATATTTATTTTGTTAAGGAAAATTAATGGTCTGGTTTCTACAACTTTCACTTTGGAGCAAAAATCTGACTTTTAACTTGAAAGAAATAAAGATATGACATTTATTGTGATAATTATCGATATTGACTGATATGAAAAAAAATAATCGTGAAATTTTTTTTGGCCATATTGCCCAGCCCTATGTACCGGTCCAAAAAAACACCGGTTCTCGGTACTCATTCCTACTCGCATGTTGTCCCAAACCTGCATTAATTTCTTTTTTGTAACACAAAAGAAGATATTTTGAAGAATGTGGGTAACCAAACATGATAGTGGGGGAAAAAAATACTATGGAAGTAACTGGGGACCAGCAACTGTCAACAGAAGAAAGAAACTCTTTCAGTTAAAAAAAAAAAAAAAAAAGTGAGAGTAAATGACAGAATTGTCATTTTTGGGTGAGCTATCCCTATAATAGTGTTAATAAAAAAAAAAAGAATACTCACCACTCTTCACTGAAGAACTTTAATACAGTTGCTTTAATAAGAATCAATGTATAATTTATGTATAAAGTGTATATAGTGTTTTATTGTTATATTTGTTAAATCAATTTCTTAAATGCTACTGCTATATACATCTACTGTAGCCTACTGTTTGTTTTATTTATATATTATGTGTATTTGTTACGTGCATCTTTGTTTTTATTTTATTTTTAACAAAAATAAAATAATGACAAAGATTTTTATCTTTGCCCACTTTAGCCTAAATGTCTGCCATTCTTTTTTATTTTATATTTTGTTACCTTGTAAGGTTTTGTTTTTAAAATAGGGAAATTGCAACTACTTGCAAAATAGTAAAACCAACATGACAAAGAATCGTGATAAAATCATGCATCAATCGTGAAAAAAATCGTGATATGATATTTTTGCCATATCACCCACCCCTATTGTGCGCTTAATAAAAGAAAGAAACTCATACAGGTTTGGAACAAGTTGAGAGTGAGTAAATGACGACAATTTAAATTTTTTGGGCGAACTATCCTTTTATTAAACACTGTAATAGTATCTCAGTGATACTAAAATAACACTGAAAACACTGCACGCTAACCTTCCTCCTCCTTGGTTTCCTTGTTGCTGACGGGGAAGCAGACGGAGACACAGGCGTGGAGGACGTTGCGGTTGCCGTCACAGCGGTGACCCAGCAGAGTGTCCAGAGCGTGAGGGTTTTGCTCCAGCAGCATGGCCTGCTCCAGACTGATCAGGTACTGCCTGCACGCCTCGTAATCACAACGCAGCACGTGCTGCATCAGCGTCTGCTTCTGAAACGCAGCGAGCAAACAATACATCAACCAGAAATACAGGCTCAAGCATTTCTCTTGCATTAGAGACTAAAAACATGTGCAATCTGTAAAATGTATTTAGTACATGTGAACAATTCAAATTCAAGGTAAGTGTTAATCATCACGTCAAGAGGTTGTAAATTTGAGGTGACAATTTAATGAAATAAATGTGAGCACTGCAGCGTTTCAAAGTAAAATCGCAGCACTGCGTGTGTTCTACAGGCTTGCAGTTTCAGAGCAATTCGCAATCACTGAATATGCGCATTTATGCCAACAGATTGCTTGTGATAGAATAGAATGTTCCTCTGATGAGTGTTTACTTCATGGCATTTACATATAAGAAGTAAAGACATGTCAAAGTAAGAGTCTAGGTGTTTTTCAGGATTGTTTGATTAAACTTTTTTCTGGTCAGTATTGGTATTTCAGTTACACAAACTGTATTTGGCATGTAGTTGAAAAATTTAGGAGCGTATTAAAAAACCTTAGGGGTGCAATGAAAATTTATCAAATAATGTGTTTATCCTTAATAAAGGCATACAAGGAGACATTTACAAGCAAAAATATTTTTACAAAAAATATTAAACAATTTAAAAAAAAAAAGATTACAAAAAATTTAATAAATATTATGAATAGTATACTGGGTTTTCAAATATCTGCTTAAAACTGTATTTAATAATTACGTAATTAAATATATATAATATATATGCTTTAATTTGCTTTTGCTAAATAATTCTATAATTATTGAATAAATGCAGTTTGCAGCAGAAATATTTAAAAACCTTGTGTACTTTTTGCATTCATACAAACTAAATTATTTTGCGTGCAAATGTCATCTTGTATCCTTTCATTACTGAAAAACAAATTTTTTAATACATTAAATTTTTCAAATTAGAAGCACGTGCTCCTTGAGGAAAAACTAAGTGTCAAGGGATTGGTAGAGCACTAACTGAATGTCTAATGTTTAGCAGGTTGGTGTATCATACCTCTACAGCCATGATGATGATGGCTGCTTTCTTTTTGATTGTGGTGTTACTGGGAAGGTTGACAAGTGAATGAACTCCCATGCCTAGGCTGGCAATTGGCGGGAGGTCTAGCCAATCAGGGTCGCGTATTCCACCCATACAGTCTTTAGCCATGGGATAAATGGTGCCGTTACCATCCCTCAAAATGATGGGGCTCTCCTGAGGACGCAAAGATGAGAAAGTTAAAACAAGCAAAGAGAAACTGAAGTGCATGAAACGTATCAGACTGTGTGACTGTAGCCGGGTTTCCATCCAAAGTTGCGAATTTAACTTATGCGCAAAACTGGAATATCGCATAAAACATTTGCGAACAAGCATCGTTTCCATCCAACAAGTCAAAGAGAACAAAATCGTCACTTCCTGATAAACTGGCACTATAAATCACTAAGAAAAGTAGGAGAATATAATAATTTTCATATATAATAAATTACTTGCGCCTCAGAGCGAGCAGACGAAACGGAGGTGCATGGTGCTGTTTGGGAACGCAGTCGTGTAAGACATTTCTGGGAGGCAATTACACAGAAATACTTTGATGGCAGACTTTGCTCGTGCATTTCCGAATGACCATAACAACATTTCAGATGCTGTGGAATAAGACAACAATTCAGATGCTGTGGAATGAGATCGGTCCGCTGGTTAGTCAGGTTTTGCCGTCCCATAGCGCAAAGTCACGTGGCTTTTTTGATGCGCTTGGAGGAATTTATTCGCAAAATGCATTTCCGTCTCCCATTATTCGCATCAACCCTTTTTTGCACAAGTCAAAAACCACCTCAAGCGAGCGTAAAAACTATTTTGCGAATTAAGGGATTTTTAATTGAAGTTTGGCGTTTCCATCACTCATTTCTCATTTGATACTTCAAAATGCGTATTAAAATAGGGTGATGGAAACATAGCTTGTCTCACCTGGCCAGCAGTAAAGATGGCCACGTTACGCTCATTCTGGCCCAGAAAGGCCAGATTACTAGTGGGGAAGTGATTCTCCTGCTCGGCTTTGCCGGTGGCCAAGTCAAAGACACAGTACCGTACCCAGCTGCCTGTTTTCAACACAGCATGAACTCCTGCAGGACGAAAGACAACAGAACAGTTAAGCAGATGTACAGGGAAAATTCACAACAAAATGTGAGATAAAAGCAAACAATATTCACCTTTGGAGTCAACATTCACAGCTAAAATTTCAGCTTTTTCTGGGATACAAAGTTTTTTAGGAGTGCGCTGAAAACAGTCTGGAACTTTTGGCGTTCCACCAGTTTTAACAACCTGTTTAAACGAAAAGAGAAATGTCTCAGCTAAAAATTCAGCAATATTTGTTTTTATTTTTCCCAATATTTATAGACAAGGGGTTTTCAAACAAGGTGCTGTTTTTTTTTTTTTTAACTATACAAGTCAAAGACACAGTACCGTACCCAGCTGCCTGTTTTCAACACAGCATGAACTCCTGGGTTCAAGTGTTCTCAAATTTAATAAAAATGTTAATATATATTGTTTTATGCACATGCATTATATATTTAAATATATATATATATATATATATATATTGCTTTCTACAGACCAGTGCAGGGCTCGACAATAAGGACTGCCCGATGGCCCGGGGCCAGCGTGAAAGACACGATCGGGCCACTGCCGCGTCGTCACAAAAAGTTTATCATTTGCATCTGTTTTTAAGCCTTGCTAATTAAAAGAACAAAAAAAATCTAGCAATTTAAAAGCCTTCCAGCAAGGCGCTAAAGACAACTCCATTCAGTACTCGCGCGCTGTGTTCTGTGTGTACAGCGAGTGCACAGACAGCTGCGTCTCTGACACCCGAGCCCCGAGTTGAGTTTCTTTCCGCGTCTTTCTTGCACTTGAATGGACAAATACATACAAAAATGTGTCAAAATACCCGTCTTGGCGAGTAACTTAGTAGCTTTAACAATGATTCATCTATATTTAATTTATACAATGGAGTACAGATGCACCGGTCGACTGGCCATTTACTTTTTTATTTCAGAGACTGTCTCTGTTCCGTGCTTGCACACAAACTGCATCGCCATAATTTTTTTCAAAATGTAATTTGTGTGGAAATATTACGTTATTATTATATTTAGTCTGTAAACGGCCGTTAACAGAGGCCCGTGACGCTGAAGACGGACGCAAAGAGGAGAAAACACCATAGCAGGCAGAGCAAGATCACTGTTCACGATGCGCGAAATATAGGAAGAAAATTTCAAATATTTAATTTTATATGGATGTGTTTCTGAGGGGAACTGACTTGTTTTCAGAAAAGTTTACATGGTATTTTCTTTTCATCTTGGCTGGGTATAATGCATTTAAACTAGTGCTAATATGCACAGCTCTGCTTTGAGTACAGCGATAACCAAGTAAACGCTGCTGTTCCATGAGCGCCTCCTGCTGTCAGAGAGTGAATGTGCGTCTCATTCAGACCGTCTGCTGTTTCGGTAATATGCAGGTGTTTTATGTAGCATTATTTCACAAAGCTAAAGTCAGACCATTCTGTTTTAGCTTCAAATTTTTAAATTAACAGTCTAATTTTAATCAAACATTGCACATGCTACAAGTGTGTATAATCTTTTCTCTCTTTTTTTTTTTTTTGATCGATTCATTATTAAAATGCAGTGGTTACCACCAATTTCAAATGGCTATGTCCACTTAATTTACTCACTCCCATGTCATCCAAGATGTTCATGTCTTTCTTTCTTCAGTCACAAAGAAATTAAGATTTTTTGAGGAAAACTTTCCAGGATTTTTCTCCATATAGTGAACTTCAATGGTGGCCAACAATTTCAAGGTTAAAATGCAGTTTCAAAGGGCTGTACACGATCCCAGCCGAGGAGTAAGAACCTTATCTAGCGAAACGATTGGTAAATATTTATACACTTAACCACAAATGCTCGGCTAGCATTAGCTCTGCGATGCGCGTCTTTTTTAGGTGATATTGGAAAAGTCACACGTGACGTAGACGGAAGTACCGACCCAGTCTTTACAAAGTGAACATGCAAAAAAGTAAAATGCCCTTTACAAAAAAGGTCAAACAGCGATGTCGGATGATTTTAAAGTTGGAGAAAATGTTTTTAAACGAAGTAAAAAGATGAAGAACTAACCGCGCTTGACCTTTCCAACAGGAGTATGCAATGTGTGAAGACGCGCATATGCCTCGCAGAGCTAGAGCAAGCCAAGCATTTGTGGTTAAAGTGTATAATTGTTTTTTTTTTTCCCATAAAATGACTGATCGTTTAGCTAGATAAGACCTTTATTCCTCGGCTGGGATCGTGTACAGCTTTTTGAAGCTGCACTGAAACTGCATTTTGGACGTTCAAATCGTTGGCCACCATTGAAGTCAACTATATGGAGAAAAATCCTCAAAAAAATTAATTTCTTTGCGACTGAAGAAAGAAAGACATTACCATCTTGGATGACATTGGGCTGAGTAAATTATCAGGACATTTTTATTCTGGAAGTGGACTTATCCTTTAAGTAGTGACTGTTTAAAATAAAAATATTTCTTCATCAAAATGCCATTTTTAATTATCAATCAATGTTTCAGCAAATGGAAAGGTTTCTGCCCGTGTGTGTGCTTTTACAGCCGCATGTGTGCATTTACCTGTAGCTCATCTATTCTGAGAAGTCGACAGTCTTGCAGCAGTGAGGAGGGGTCAGAGTCAGTGGGAGCTGCGCTCTGGCTGCTCGACGTCCCTGGAAATTTCACAGCAACATATGCACCATCGACTTTTAGCACCTTGAGTTCAAAAGAGAGAACTGTTGCAAATGAGGTGTCATAGCAAAGCATCACACATAGACAACACAGACAGCAACATCACACGTCACGTAAAAAAGTATGCTTGTATAAAATGTCATCCATCACTGGTAATTCTTATTATATTAAAAGGTTGCAAAAATGCAGACAGTAAATCAGTGGAGAAAATATGCTTGTAGTTTCGGTCTCCACTGGATCGACGTTGTACGTCTGCACCCACCTTTCCCACGGGGACGTTTTTAACGTCCTCCACGAAAACGACCTCTCGTAGAGGCCACTGCTCCTCATTGACTTTCTCCTCCTCCTTTGGAGCCGGCGTTGAGCGCCTTCGCTCTGTAGCACAGCAGGTAATAGGTTAGCAATGGCAAAACACTGCAGCCACATCTCACAAAAGACCAAACGGATGTTTAAACTGTTCCAATTTAAGTCAGCTACTCAGACTACTTATTTAAAAACATAGATATGAGGATGTTGGTGTTTTAACGCCATGACAGCTTCCTTGGCTATTTTCATGGCGATTAACAAGCTGAAACAGAATAAAAATGAAATTCAAAAGATTTTGCCTTAGATAAATCTCTAAAATGGTTTCAAGGTTAACTCTGTTATAAAAAACATAAATAAATAAAAACAAATTTGAGGGTGTTTGCAGAGTAATATAATTTCCTAAGAGAATGTAAACCAGCAGAGTTTAATAAAATGTTTCAAAGATGTGAGAAAGGCCATGAATAGCAAAACAAACAACAGGTTTCACAAACAAACAAACCGAATCAATCAATGCAGCACACATCCATTAGGCAAGTGACTACTTCATTTACACACTGATCGCAGGCCATCCTTATTGTTGCATCATGACAAGGACACTTATATTATGGAAAAATGTGTGAAATGACAGTAGAATTCCAGGAGAAATCAAAATGAAAAATTTTCACTCAGAAAAATGTATTGCACTTAATTTTTATCAAGTAACACATTGAAATAAAGATGAAATTGAGGTAGAAAGACTTCAATAGCCTGTTTTATTTACAACTTTGAAAAATCTTTTTTACAGTGAAGGTTAGTTGTAAATTATTTTCATTTTACAAGAAAGCACTATTTCATGTTTTGTACTTTAAAACCTCATATTGAGTTCAATTTGTTACTACCTATTTCTTTGTAATTGTTTGACAAACTTACTTGCAATTTCTGAGTGAAAATTCTTTCTACGTCAAATTTTTAGGTCAATATAAACCCTGCACAACTGTGGATGGGTTAGTGTACATACTGTAGGGCAGAGAAGCACTGCTGGCGATGGAGGAAGTGTCACTGCATGTGGACGCTGGTGAGGGCGGAGGGCCCATTTCAGTCTTCACCAGCTCTGGCTTGCTCTCCGTTCTGGCAACAAGAACAAGCACAACTGTTAGCATATTATTTTTAGCATAAATACCTCCATGCATGTGTTTGGTCACAGAAGAACAGTCATCTTACTTGATCTCCTGTGTCTTGGTGTTCTTCTCCATGTTCTTCAGGCTCTCGGGCGAGCGGAGCTGGAAGCGGCAGCTGTCGTTCATGTTCCACACAGACTCCAGCAGAACGCCCACTTTAGGGATCCCGGCGTTTACGGAGAAGGCCACGGCACCAGCGTGATATAGAGGGTTATTCCTCAGGCACACCTACGGGAAATGAGATGTCATCACTGTAATCCTCAATTGGGGTGGGCGTTATAGCAAAAAAAAAAAGTTTTTCATGATCCACAATCACAATTTTGTTAGTTCATAAGACTATTTTGCATGTTTCTGAACCATACCAAACTAATTACGCGATTTAAAAATAACAGATCATTTTTGTCAAATTAGGGATGGGTGATATGATCAAAATCCTCAACATGACCAACATATACCAAATTCACTTTCAATGATTGAATAACTCACTGAATGACAGAATAATGATTGAAAATAAGAAATAATAGAAATAAGATAAAAAAATACAAATTACAAATAATTAGGGTTGGATATTTTCCACAATTTTTTCAACTCCACATATCAAAGCCAATTCTTATCAAATTTTGGTTTTAATTACAACCTTTTTTTATGAGATAAGAACAAAAAAAGAACAAATACTCAAATTAGCCTACCATCTATTCTTGGCATATTTAGGCTATAATCACTAAACTGCCAAATCAGGTCTATTTAACAGTAGCATTCAAAGTCTTCACTGTATGACTTAAATATACAATGATTTTTATTAAAGCTGCTGAAGTTATTCAGTCAAGAGCAATGAGTGATTTTCTCTGTCTTTTGTTGTTTGATTAACATTAATGACAGACAGCAGAAGATATATTAGGCTGCTGTCACTTTAAGACCAAAAGCGCAAATCTAATATACTGACACGCATCTGATTTATGTTCAATTAAGACAAAACCGATTGCGTTTATGTGAATACTTGGCAAGTCTGGCTTTATTTTGTGTGCATCTGGCCATTCAAGCCCAATAATCTATCAATTCACACTTCATATCATTGCCACAGCAATATATCCTAAGATCACCCAGCCCTAATCATCACAAAAAAAGAAAAACGAGTTTGCAAACAATAGCACGTTCCTCACCTGAGTTCCTACTGTGATGTTGGGTATAGAAGAGATGCCTGCACTGGACTTTGGCTTCTTGTTCTTGGCTCTGGCCTTTTCAAGCATCTTTTTCCGCTGACTAAAAGGCACAACACCCCTAAAGGAAAAAGAAACTCTGAATGTATTCACAGATCACAAGCACAACGGCTCAAACTATCAGACATGATCCTGCCTGCTCACCACCAGTAAAGGCTGCTCTCCAGCTGGGCGCAGGTGTACAGGGCACAGCAGTGCAGAGAGATGATACGCTCTCCCTGCAGCTCCGGGAACATTTGTGCACCATGTTCTAGTTTAGCAGCAACAGTGCTCAGAGTTTCATCCACCCATGTCGCCACCTACACAATACAAGTTAATGGGAAATTTGAGATCTGAGGACATTTTTTGGTACTGGAGTGTGCAGCACTGATCTTATTGTATCCGCCCACTCCTGTCGTATGATTTTCTTCTCACCCACTCCCATGTAAATAAATAAATGTCTTCTACCTTGTTACTTTCGGTGGCCACAGTGGCTCGGATACTGTTGGCAGACAGGTGGGTGATCTTTTCATTGGTCAAGCCCAGGAAAGGGACACGAGGGTGATGTATAGAAGGATTCTACGAAAGCGCAAAGATTTATAAGATTCAATTCAATCAAATCAAAGTGACAGGAATTCCTTGTTCGATGTGCATTGCAAATCTTACTTGTGCGTTTCTGTAAGGTTCAGGCTCATTCCACTTCCACTGGTACAGTTCACCTTTGGTACTGACGGCAACCATCTCAGAGTACAAAGCCCCAATGCTGACAAACTTTGTTACGTAGTCCTAAAGAATCACACAACCAAGGATATATAGCAACTATACAAATAAAATATGAATCCAAAGAAATTTGACTAACAACCTAAAGTGTAATCCAAACAGGCTGGCCATAAATCAAAAGATAAAATAAGGATGTGCAAGATTAAAAGGAGTACTAATAAATACAGTTTAAAAGACTCGTGCCAAGTTCTTAGAAAATATAATCTGATATTAGTTTCTGAAACTTGTTTATAAGATTTAAAAGTTGGTTGAATGACTCTAAAAATCAGGGTTATTTTTGTTAACTGAAAATAAAGTAAACTAAAACAAAAAAAGCATTTTGTTACTTGAAATAAAATACAAATTTTTAAAACCTTGTTTGTGTATCAGATTATTTAAATTTTAAAAAAATCAATAGTTTCAGTTAAATGACATAACTTATTAATGTCATTAAAACTGAACTAATCTTGCAATGACATAAAAAGCCAAAAAGCCTTTTTCTTGACATCCAGTTATGAGAATCTAAATGGTTTTATGGTCATGACATTACAACAAAATTTGTTGCAAACACCACACTGACTGACTCAAACAGGCTGACCAGTTTTACAAATAATATTTAAAAGAAGAACTGCTCTACTATTACTTTTAAAGAAATAAAACATTATACTAAATTACTTTTACCTCAAAAGTTTCAGCCATGGACTCAACAAAAAAAGAAACAGCACGCAGAAATTGAACACACATTAATTATCATTGACCCATAAAGAGACAGTTCACCCAAAAATGTTGCTCCAAACCTGTATGCATTGCTTTCTTGTGCAGAACTCAACAGAAGATATTTTGAAGAATGTTTGTAACCAAACAGTTTCCGTTCCCAAGGACTTGTCAATATAATGCAAGCCAATGGCAACCGAAACCAAATGTTTTGTTACCAACATTCTTAAAAATATCTTCTTTTATATACCCAGAAGAAATAAAGAAAAAAAAAATACAGGTCTGAAACTAAATGATGACCGCATTTAAATTTTTGGATAAACTATGACTATGTCAAGACTTAAAATGCACCACGGAAATCTGAAATAGGGATGCACCGAATGTTCAGCAAGCGAAATTATTCGGCTGAAAAATAGCAAAAAAAGCTCTTAAGGTGTTCGGCCGAATAAGCGAAAAGACCGAATAAATTGTACCAAACAATGACGTGACGTGATCAAATAGAGGGGCGCGCTAATGCAGCAAACGTCGGAGGTGTGGAAGCATTTAAAACTGTCTGAGAAAGACGCAAAAATCAATACAAGCAACGACAGCGAGAGACTGCTTATTTCTGCATCTGCACCTCATGTCTCCGATGAGAAGAGGAAAGGGGTGGTTGTTGTTGGTTACTGTATGATGATTGAAATTGTGAAATGGCCTTAAACAATTAGTAAGTAATCTGCAGAATGTTAGGTTTTCTAATGCACGCACGGATTGCATGTATTCAAACAGCGCTGCACGAGCTCGCGGCGCCAGGGTTCAAAGTCCAAAGTGCGAGGAAAATCTGCGCTGAAACAGCGTTACTCGTCAGCTGCTCTGTAACATTTTTATTAATTTTTACAAGGCATGAATGTGACGATGTGATACGTGCAACAAACATCTTCCCAAATTCATAATGAGAATCATTTATAAATCTGCTGCTGTCAACAAAAAGAAGCACTGAGGTCTTCCTGGGGGTTTCTGCCAAAAAAGCTCCATCAACATTCATTAATGTTAGTATTGTAATTTTACTGTTGTTCTGTAAAATAAAATAAAAAAGACAATAATAATAATGATAATAATTACAACAGCTGTATTAATACATTTATTATAACATTCACACATAGTGTTCAAATCGGTAATAGATTTGTATGTGTGGGATCTGAAATATTTTCTGACAAAACAGTAAAAAGCCAAATTTGGGTACTTCAATTATGTAATGGTGAAAAGAATTGGCAAAATACATGGAACAAAAAAAAAATGCGAAAAACCGTGTTCGGTATTCGGCCCAGTGTTTCATTTTGTTCGGCTTCTGCCAAGAATTTTCATTTCGGTCGGTGCATCCCTAATCTGAAGTTTCTTATTCTTGGATATTGAAGGCTTAAAGGCCCACCTTATCAGGCCACCACTGGAGCTCTTCGCCCAGAGTGACAGGGCTCTGCAGCGGCACGCTCTTCTTGTCAAGGCTGGGCTCTCCCTCACGGCTGGTGGAGCCACGCTCCGCATCGAAGGAGGCTCCATCCAGCCACCTCCTCTCGCGCAGCCTCAGGACCGACTCCCGCTCACGGAGCAATTCAGAGTCTCGCTCTAGGGGGAGAAGGAGAACTGGTATGCAATAGGGTCACACCAGTGGGATAACAGTAAGCCACTCTCTGGGAAAGACCCTCGGAATAGTGAGATTTCATACAAATTACAATTAATAAGACTAAAAATTCTACTGTACTTCTGTGACACCAACCACCAAAAACAACTGACCATTATGTCGTAAATACAACACTGCGGGTGAAAAGGATCCATGACCATTTTAGGTAATGATCCATAATTTATTATAAGTAAAATAGGGCTACATATGGACGCTGTACAGGATGGCTTTGTCAGTTGGTGGGTCGCATTAGCAGCAAAAACATCTTGTTGACGGGGGTGTCCAGCATTAGCTGAGCTGTATGGGTATAAACTGCAGGGTCTTATGGGTAACTGTCTGAACTGCAGGGCCTTTCGCAGAGGGCTCACTAGACCATGCAGGACAACTGGACACGCTCTCAAACACACAGACACTCACACACAACACAAACATGCAGCAAGGCATCTTAAAGGACTTGATATCCAGAGGCTGATCATAAAGCACTCGGTTCACAGATGCTGGTTTATGAACATGTAATTTGAAATGAAATGAAAGTATAATTCTGGACTGCGTTATTTGCATGCGATTCAAAAATACAACGCAGGACCTGACCCAAACTTGTTGTTAAGTTCAGTAATTAACAGTTGCATAGCAACATTGTAACCTGATGCATTATTATAGAACTCAGCTGGTTCCAATCAGAATTTGAACTCATTTTAAAATTAGTTTTACCGTTTTGTTTTAAAGTGTTGCATAATGGGCATCTGTATTCGCAGGGATTCATTTGTTATGAATAATCTTTTGTTTGACTTCAGTTTCAAATCAACAGCATCTTTCATATCTGCATGAATGTGTTGCGAGTTGTGACTTTATTTATTAAAAATACAGCGTTAACGATGAACGCAGTGGTTGTGGCACAAGCATTTCCACAAATCTTGCTGAATGGCTTCATGACACTCAGTGTATGCAAGCATGACTTTGTGTTTTAGGCTTTACCTCGTGAAGAGCCGAGACGAGACAAGGAAGAGCGTCGGAAAGAGGGGTAGCCGAAGTAGCTGATGTCCTCAGAGAACATGGCGTCCGCGTCAATGATCACGCTGGGGTGCGCAGAGTGAATGTCCGCATCTAGCAGTGACATCAAGTCTTCTGTGGAAGTATGAAAGGTATTGTCAGAAAAGTTTGTTAAAATGACACAGTCTTGAGCATCATTACCGTGACCCATCTTCTGTGTCCGTTTACCTCCAGGTAAGTAGGACTCGCTGGCCGTGTCGTCTCCATCATCTCCGTCCTCGTCGTCTCTGCTCAGCAGGTTGTTTACAGCCAAGTTCACGTCAAGGTTTGTGCGCTGCAGCTCTCGAATGATGACACTCCTGGACTTTCCCTGAAGAACCACCTGGGCCTGTTTGGGGAAGCAAAGCCAATCAGTTACGACATTACAAAGCAGGTCTGGGTCACATGTCACCCCAAAATGAATTAAATAATAAAAAATAATAGAATATACAAAATTAATACTATATTTTTTATATTTTTGTTAACTGCATAAAGCCCAATTTTATTACCTGCATTTTATTGAAAACTATCTTTAGCTATTAATAAAATAATTATAAATGCATGCAAAACATTTTGAAACAAGATTTGTAGTATAAATACAATATTTTGCTTTATAATGTAAACTGTCATGTTTCTAAAATTGTATTAATGTGAAAAGCAATATGAATTGTTTTGTAGTATTTATACTTCAAACCTTTACACACACTATGTTTAGCATATATTTGTATTTGTTAATATATTTTTGTTAATATATTTTATTATATTATATACTGTAGCTCCAGATTTTCAAATAGTTGTATCTCGGCCAAATATTGTCCTATCCTAACAAACCATACATCAATGGAAAGCTCATTTATTCAGCTTTCATATGATGTATAAATCTCAATTTCGAAAAATTGTTCTTTATTACTGGTTTTGTGGTCCAGGGTCACATATTTCAAACCTTTACACAATGATTGGCATGCTTATATTTGTTAAAAAAAAAACAATACATTTGTTTTACTATATTGTACATTATATTATACACATATTATATTGTATTATGTAATATTGTAGTATTTATATTTCAACCTTTACACACAATGATTCGCATGCATTTATATTTGTTAATAATTTTAAATATTTTTCAATACAACGAACGAAGGCAATAATCATCAAAATAATTTAGGGTTAAAATAACCAATTCTTTTGCTAAATGACCAAAAAATGATTTCAGTTTTTTATTTATTTTATTTTATTATTTCATTTTAATTGTATGTCTAAAGCTAAAAATGCTATGAGATTCTCAATAGAGAATGAAGTTCTGTTATGTAAAAAGCTGAATAATATACACAAACATTACATGGAACTTATTAAGCAGAGCTATGGCAAGCACATCCAACTTAAACAGCCAAAATCAGGAATGTGGAAGAGGCCCATGAAGCGAGTGTTACCTGAGAGATGAGCTCCTCTGGGATGACAGAGGCTGGAATTACGGGCTGTGGCTGACTGCCCAGCAGGCCGGAGCCTCGATCTCTGCCAGTGCGGATCACGCGGGTCTGTCTGCGTGAATCACGGGCTGCTGTGGAGGACCGGCCTGAAGATCCTCCTCCTCCAGCGCCTCCTCCAGCACCCCCTCCACTCCCGCTGCCTCCTCCTGCGCCTCCACCACTGCTGGCTCCACCTCCACTGCTGCCACCATTTACTCCTGAACTCCAGCGGCTCCTGTCAGGCACAGCGACAATCAGGATCAGTATACGGCCAACAAGATTCCCTCTGCATCTGATATTAAACTCCAACAGCCCACTTCTAAGGACTAGTTTCATATTCTTTGTCTTGTGATCATGAGAGAATTAAGATGGATATTTTAATATTGATTCAGTGATTTAATCAGTTTAAAACTGATTTAACAATCCAAGGTCACTCAAACGCTAATTAATGCATTCATATATTTAAATGTTTTAGTATATATCATCATACTGTTTTACTATGTAATATATTACATCTTATATAATAGAAATTTGATTGTTTATTACGGTGTATATATTTGAATGTTTTGGTAATACTGTATAATGATAAATGTTATATAATATATATAGTATTGTTCTATATGATAATATAAAATGATATAATATATAAATATTTCTGTTTGTTACTATGCATATTCATAGTGATTCATTAAATGCAAATTATGAAATCTTTTTCCCTGTTCATTTAGCGAAAAACTGTTGATAATGTACTTTACTGTATTTTACTTTAAACATTTTTCATTATTTAAAGCTACAATGGCTAATAAAAATTTATAATATTATATAATAATTATCGTAATTATAGAATATACAATATATACAAATATTACTGTTTATGACTATATATTTTTGTATATTGGTTCATATGAAAATGCTTAAATATTTTTCATAAATACTGATTTTTCTCTATATATATATACACACACACACACACACACTTCAACCTACTTTGCTATTATTATTATTATTTTCTACTAATAATAATCATTGAATCTCGTCAAAAAGTTGAGAAAATATAAAACTTGTATATAGCACAGCTTTAACAAGCACACTTTAGAAAAACATTGAATTTGAGTTTAATTTCTTCTTAGTAATTGAGCATTTCACACAAAATAAAACACGTTTCTGGAAATGGGATTGTAGTGTGAATATTTCCAGGTGGGGATTTTATTGCATGCAAACAAAACAGCAAAATCATCTTTAAAAAAGTTTCTTATAACCAAAGGCAGCACTGCACGTGTGCCTGCCAACGTTACCTGATGGCTGCATTTCTGATAGCCCTGCCACAACTTACCCAAGGGTGTTGCCTGCCAGTCTGCCCAGTGTATCAGAACCAGACAGGAACCAGGGCGGATCACTAGTCCTGCCTGGCCTGGAGCTCCTTCCTGCCCCTGAGACACTGCTCAACTTTGAACTGGAAACAAAAGATGGGAGATCAGTTACAAACCTATAGTCCCATATGTGGGACCATCACAGACCCTGGAAAGCCCAGGCCTACGAGCCAATCGGCCTCTTGTACCATAGGGCGACTAACATGGCAACACCCTTGGGAATCAGAACTGACTGCAGCTCATTCCTCAGGCAAGAGCTGTAGGAAAGGCTGACAGGGAACTGCTAAAGATTTCCCCTTAAATCATGTGCCATCATGCCCGGTAAATATTTTGGTCATATACAAACACCAAGGATTGCTTGAGGTTCACAAAAGGGGATTTGCAATGCTGCGACATGGCTTCGATCCCAAAAAAACACGAAAAGAAGCACTAGCCCACTTCCTCAGTTAAAAAACAAATGCACAAACCACTGCAATAAGCAGTGGACAGCAAAGCGGTGAACATGAGCATAACAAGTCATTTTTGCAGTTTACTTTCAATAAATGGTCTTTTCGTACTCAGAAGCTTTGAATTGTAAGAGTTACAATATATTTTTGTTTTAAATTAAAATTTTCTGTACCACCAAATATTAAAGTGTTTATAAGGTAGTGCTGTAACATGCTTGCATGTGTATTTGGTTTTCCCCATTTCAGTAATAAAACAACACTGCTGGTAAAACCAGACAACAAAAGCTGGCCATGCCTAATCTACAGGCTTCAGACTGACTGAGTTCCTTCCATTTGAACCGCTTCATAAAATTCCCTTCCTTCCATCACTAAGAATATAATGCAAGCACATATTTTCCATGCAACTGTAAGGCTACATCTTTGGAATAATTACTTCATCATATATAGTGTTCATATTAGAGCATATTTACACTACGCTAACATAAAAAAAATCATCAGTATGTCTTCACGCCAAAGCCCACAACGCAACCTTTAATCATATAAGGTGGGTAATGCCGGTGAAAATTCAGCACACTTGAAACAGAATTAAGACAAACTTAATACATAAACCCAGAGCAATTATAACCAGAAGGGACAGATCTAGAGTTATTTTGCATGCCAGCTCATTTATGCATTTTCCATGCATCTAACAGGGGTAATAATTTCTCACCCATCATTGCCATCGGGCTTGCCGAGCTCCAGTCGGTCGGGCTGGACTGCAAAGTTTATCCTGCAGATACGTCCATCCTGAAACAAAAGAGTATGTCATTTTCTGCATTGCTTTGTTTTCATTAGACAAAATTAATTATATATTCATCCTCCTGTTGTTCCAATCCCATATTCTTTTTGTTTTCAATGCAACACAAAAGCAGAATTTTTGAAGAAATTGTGCATTGCTCTTTTATATACAACAGTTCATAGTGAACTGATAAACTTCAAACACGACAAAAAAAAGGTCCTTTTGAAGCTTAAGAAACAGTCTCTGTGAAATTCAGTTTTTATGGAAATTGCTTTGAATTCAATGTAAATCACTTCAGATAAAAAGGTCTGCCAAATGCATAAATGTAAATGTAACGGATAAGAGCAAAAACCAGCAAACTGGTTTGGAACAACATGAGTACCAGCAAATGCCGTAATATTCATATTAGGGATGGAACGATTACCGGTTTGACACAAAATATCATGATAAAATTCCCCACGGTTAGTTGTACCATTTCATATTTTAATATCATTAAAACCGTATTCGCTTACCGTGATTAATTTGAAATACGGTCCAGCATAAAGCAGTTTTTAATAACAGTCTCACGTGCGCAAAGCAGCAGAGTAGTTTCGTTTTGTGTGAAAACATGGCAGGGGCGCCTATGTTTTTTTCTGATAGGAGCCAATGGCTCCTTACTCGATTTTTTTTGTCTGGAGCCCTGTAAACTGTTGTCAGTCATGTTGTCATTTAAAATCGGACCATCATTGGTAATGTTATTGTTTTAGTGTTTATGCAAACTAAAAGTAATTGTATTTATTGTTTGTTAATTTTAAAGTCCTCCTGTAGTCAAAAATGTTATCCCTTAAACCTCATCAAAATTACATATCCATGACCAAAATTACATGATCCAGAGATAATGACTGATAGAACTATGTTTTTACTAGCGGACAACTACAGTGGACACTGTAACAGTCATTAAAGTTACTTACTTGACGATGTTGTGTCTTCAAAATGCCTTGAAGACTTGAATGCAGCCAAGTTTGTGATTCTTAATTCGCGCCCGCGAGCAATGCGTGTGAAGTGCGGATGCCAATGTGGGAGAGGTGGGTCTGACTCCGGGCTACTTTTCCACTATTGCCGCGGGTTATTTTTTAAGTTAGCGGTTCTAAATTCAAGTTAAACCACAGCTTCATTAGTTTTTTCCTCTATTTTATTTTTGGTTTTGTGCTTGTAAACAAAGATTAAAGTTTTCCGTCGCTACGACAGATTTCCGTCAGTTCATAAAGATAGTCACTTGCTTCATTCCTGAATGATTCAGCCGTTCGAACGAATCAAT